TTTTTAGGTACTTGGGCCACATCAAGTGGTGCTCAGGGCTTACTCCTGGCTCTGCACTGAGGGATTACTCCTGGTGGGGCTTGAGGGATGATATGGGCCGCCTGCTGGAAGTCAAACCCTAGTGAGTCATGCAGGAGGCGAGTGCCCTGCCCACACTGTACTACCTCAGCAACCCAGTAATGCTTTCTAATTCAGTATACTGTCGATACTATTTCCCTTGGAAGACAATGATTATCATCAAATTTCCTTCATGATTTCTCTCCAGTCTGGCATTATTTTGATTCTTCCCTTCTTAGAAATATTTACACTTCTAATTTCTTTTGAACCTGTGATTTATTGTAGTTTTGCAATGGAGGTGCGGGGTCACAGAGGCCACACCCAGCAGTACTTGGGAGCTACTCCAGGCTCTGTGCCAGGAGATCATATGTGGTATCAGGGATCTGAACCCAACTCAGCAGGAGGGATACGAGGTAAATTCCCTAACTCTGCATTATCTCTCAGTCCCAGACAAGACTTTTGAATAGTCTTAAAAGTTGTTCTATAGGGGCCTGAGCAATGATACAGTGGGTAGGTGATACAACAACAACAACAAGAGTTGTTCTATGAAAGGGCAAGTTTGGGCTCTCAGTAAGTTTCGTGCTAACACTTTGATACTCAAAACACAGAACTCCCTGCTGTTAACAACTTACCACAAGAGACACCTGCCAACTGGTGTAACTCTCTCTAATAAACGAATGGCCTAAGAATCAATGATTCAAATATCTGCTTCTGTTCAGTCATGATACAGCTCAGGGACAGAAAGAAGTTGGTTAAATGAATGACCACAGAAAGAAAAAGCAAACTAAACTCAGGCATGAAATTACTACTGCTGTCATTGTCATCATTTAGAATTTGTACTATAGGTAAAGGTAAGGTAAAGGCCCTCCCGTTGTTCATCAATTTGCTCGAGTGGGCCCAGTAACGTCTCCATTGGAGACTTTGTTGTTACTGTGTTTGGCATATCGAATACGTCACGGGGAGCTTGCCAGGCTCTGCCGTGCGGGCGAGATACTCTCGGTAGCTTGTCAGGCTCTCTGAGAGGGGCGGAGGAATCGAACTCGGGTTGGCCATGTTGGCTGCGTGCAAGGCAAACGCCCTACCGCTGTGCTATCGCTCCAGCGAAGCATTTCTTCCTATCCTCTCTCAAAGCTAAATTATCCAACATGAAACACACACACACACAAAGAAATCATAATTTTTCTCATTAAAACTTATTTTGAATTCCTTCCTCAGTGAGTATATGACAAGTGGTAGTTTCTTATACAATTTATAGAGTTCTTCCCCAGTTTACTATGCGAAATTTATTTCTGGGACTGGGAGCTAGTTCAGAGACTAGAATACAGGTGTAGCATGTGGGAGCTCTGACTTTGATTCCCAGTACTGAAAGGTCTTCTGAGCACTCCTGGGAGCAGTCACTGAGCATAAGCTTGGAGTAGCTCCCAGGCGCTGTCAGTTATGACCCAAACATGGAGAAAAGGAAAATATTTTAGGTCAGAGGGATCACTCAAAAGGTTGAATACACGCTTTGCATGTGGGAGCCCAGGTTTGATCCCTGGTACCATGTGAAGTGACCCCTGAATAAAAGAACAGGGAGAACAAAGCACTACCGGGTGTGGCCCTAACCCTACCATCCCCCAAATCTAATATATTCCAATTTGATACCTATATATATCCCCATTATTCGCATGCCCTTTGGGTCAACCATTAACTCTATCACTATCCATTTACTCTACTCTATCACTATCCATTTCTATCACCAAGCCATCTAATTCTTTATGCTTTTGGTTTTTGTTTCAGTTTTGGGCCACACCCAGTGGTGCTCAGGGCTTACTCCTAGCTCTGTGCTCACTCCTGGTGAGGCTCAGGAGACCATATGGGGTGTGAGGGATTGAACCTGGGTCAGCAGTGTGCAAGGCAAGAGCCCTACCCACCGTACTACTTCTCTGGCCCCAAATTCTTTATGCAGTAATCAGTACATCTATAATTAGACTTCAAAATATTTTATTCTACTTTTTTTTTTCGCTTTTTGGATCATACCCTGCAATGCTCAGGGCTTACTCCTGACTCTGCACTCAGGAATTACTTCTGGCGGTGCTCGGGGGACCATATGGGATGCTGGGAATATGGACCACCCGGGTGGGTCGGGTGCAAGGCAACCGCCCTACCTGCTGTACTATCGCTCCAGCCCCCAAAATATTTTAGAGGTTAGATTTACAAATAATAAAGCACATAGGTTTTTAACAGAAGCCCCTCACCTGGGATGTGGCTCAGCAGTACAGCACTTGCCTTGATACAGGAGTCCTGGGTTTGATCCCTGGCACCACAAAATTAACTATATCAAACAAATTTAAAACACAGCGGTCACTTACAATGCTCCTCTTAGCACTGCTATGGGCCTGGTCCTGGAGCTGATGGTACTGGAGACTAGGGAGTCATCAGGGATGATACACCTGCAGTACTAGGGTTGGATAATGGTACTGTGCTGGGGTAGTGGTACTTGGGTAGGAATACTGGTACTAAGGTGGGGGTCGTGGTAGTGGTACTAGAATGGGGGTTGTGGTACTAGGGTGAGGACAGTGGTACTAGAGTGGGGGTTGTGGTATTAGGGTGAGATAGCGGTACTAGGGTGAAAGTATTGGTACTAGGGTGGGGGTAGTGGTACTAAAATGGGGTTTGGGTACTAGGGTGAAGATAGTGGTATTAGGGTGGGGTAATGGTAATATGCGGGGGTAGAGTACTATTCTAGGAACAAACCCAGAGCCTCTAACAGGCTAGTCATGTGCTTTACCGCTTGAGTCGTGTCCCCAACACATAACATACACATCTTAAGCACATGTACTGAATTTTATAAAATGCATATATCAAAGTAATACAAACCCTATCAAGACAGAAAAAATAAGCAGAAATACATTTGCTTATAAATTAACAGACAAGACACTGACAAAAATCCTAATTCTTCCCCTTTTCTGAGGGGGAGTGGGGCTTACCCAGCAGTGCTCAGTGCTTACTTCGGGTTCTATGCTCAGGAGTTACTCCTGGTGATCCTTGGATCACCGCATCATATCTAATGCTTGGGGAATGTATCATATGCAAGGCAATCACCTTAACCCTTGTACTATCTCTGTCTCCCAAACCGTAATTTTCTTACTCATGATTACATTTAAATGGAAAAAGCTTTGTCAACAAGATTATTTACTATTGCAACAAACACAGAAGTAAAGTACATTATATACCAAGAGTACATTGGCCAGCTGAGACAAATTACCTAAAAAAATTTTACAAGATTTGTTTTTATTTATTATTTATGTCTGAAAGGCAGCTCTGGGCGAGTATTCTCATAGGTGACCCACTGCCCCAACTGTCTAGCCAGAAGTAACCATGTGAAGGCTAACTCATAGGTACTTAATGGTCACCTTTAGATCACCTGGGAACACTACTCTTACACATTTTTTTTCTTTTAGGGTCACACTGGAAATGCTCAGTCAGGGGTTACCCCTGGTGGTGCTTGGGGGACCATGTGGGACGCTGGGGATGGAACCTGAGTCAGCCGCGTGCAAGGCAAATGTCCTACCCACTGTGCTATCGCTCCAGCCCACTTCTTGATCTCTGAGGTGAGATCAAGAAAGTTGACGTCTGAAGAGAAAGCAGAAAATGTTTCTTTGTGAATTGTTAGGGAAGGAATATCTGGGAAAATGATTTTCCCAAATGTGAAGAATTCTTTTTTTTTTTTTTTTTAAATCTCTGTAGCAGTGTTGTCTGCGGTCGTGAGAGACTTGTGGGAGTCGATGACTCTGGTCATTACAGACTATGGTTTGGATCTGAAACAGCACAAAGATTAATCCTTTAAAAATTCAGAAAATGTATGATTAAAAATAGAATTGAGACCTGGGATAGTTAAGAAAACAGAGAGAGCATGAGTTGAGAGGAGAAAGGGAGAAGGGGAGAGGCGGAGAGGGAAAGCAGATGAGGAAGAAGAGAAGGTGAGGGAGGGAAAGGAGGAGGGCGAGAGGAAGAGAGAGGGAAAGGAAGGGGATGGGGGGAGAGGGAGAGAGAGAGAGAAAATAATCCTTGCCTGGCCTCAAAGATTGAAAAATATGCCTTGAGCCCTAAAAGGAAATGCTAAGGAAAAACTGAGGTAAGTGCTAATGACGGTTGCAGCACAGAAGAGAAAAACAAATGTAAAACTTCAGACTATCTGGGAATTTTCCCCACAGGACACCAAACAACAGGAAATCATACAGCGGTGCTATTCAAATACAAAATTCATTAGTCTGAAGGAAAAGGTATTTCTATTCTAGAAAACTCTTTGCTAATAGTAAGAGCAAACAAATAAACAGCATGAACAGCAACAATTTTCTTAATGAAATATATTTAAAATAGGTCTCTGAAAACACCCAACTGTAAACTCAACTGGAGAGCCATTAGAATCTACAATATTCATTAAACATTTGAAGTAAATCTATTCTAAAAATCTCCAACAATAAGAACCTGCTCAAAATATTTACCAGTTTGAAAAACAGAGGCAATATCATTAGTAAATTTGAATCCAATGCTCCTATGTTAGGCACTACCCAAAACTGAAATCAAGTCCATTGTGCTCTTGGAAAACAGACAACATAGACAACACAGAGTTCTCTCCCATAACAGTTAATGCCACAGGAACTCAGGGATGAAACATCTGGTCCAAGTGGAAGTATCTCATTCCAGTTTTCCAGAGGAAAAGAACTTAGTAACATTCAAGAATCTCTCCACAAGCAAGTTGGTAGGTGATTATGATGCATTGTAGCATTAAAAGAAAGGCACAATTGGGAGGGCACTTCCTTTGCACCAAGCCAACTGGAGTTCCTTCCCCAGCACCACATATGGTCTGGAGAGTATGACCAGGAGTGATCCCTGAGCCTGTACAGAGTCAAGAGACGTCCTAAGCACTTTCTGGGTGTGACCCCCAAGCAGCCAATTGAGGTCTCCTGGTGCTTAACCACAGGCTGTGTTCTTTACATGGACTATAAAGAAAGAGGCACATAGTAAACACCCCACATTCACCTAGGCACAGGCCCCTCCTAGTCTGTAATATGAACTGGGGGTGAAGGGCGCCACACACACAGTAAAATAAAAGAAGAATTAAGAATTTACATTTGCATTTCAGTATGCCCATGGTTTTTTGGGTTTTGCTGGCTTTTTAAAAAATTTTACCCCCAGCACACTGGTATAAATTGTAGGTCAAAAAATTATTGGTAAAAATATCCCCAACCACATAGCAAAAGTTTAACGGATGGCTCATCATAGCAATATGCCTGAATCCTGCAGGAATGCCCATATGGCCTAGGACATATGCGGGACTATAGAAACACCAAGTCTCCCAGGACAATCTTTCTGGGAGGAAAATGGTTGAGAAAATAAACTAATATTATGCTAGTTTTTGGCTGGAGCAATAGTACAGTGGGCAGGGCATTTGTCTCGTACACAGGCACACAGCCGGGTTCAATCCCTGGAATCCCATATGGTCCCTCAAGCACCACCAGGAGTAACTGCTGAGTGCAGAGCCAGGAGTAACTTCTGAGCATTGCTGGGTGTGACCCAAAAAGCAAAGAAAAAAAAAAGAAAAAGTGAATAAATAATAAAAATTAAAACCAGGAAAAAGTTTTAAAAAAGTAATAATAATTCACTTGAAAAAAAAGGGATCAGAGAGAAAAAGAACCGAGGGTAAAGCACTTGCTTTGCTCTGCTGACTTGGGTTTGATCCCTGGCACCCCTTAAGGTCCCCAAGACCCTCACAAGTGATTCCTGAGTGCAGAGCCAGTAGTAAACCCTAAGTACAGCAGGGTGTGGTCCCAAAACAAAACAATCACTTGGTAGGTTATTAATAACTAGCCCTCAGGCATATGTACTATGAACAATTACGATGCAGTCACACTGGAAAAAAAAGAGCTGCCCTTCCCACAAGGAGAAGCCGGACAGGAGGTTTCGGGCGAGACTCGAGCATCAAGGGAGCACAGGAGGGAAAGCAATGCTTCAGGAGGTATGAGACGAACACTAAGCATTAGAACATAAGGTAATAATAAACTTGCAGTGTAAGGTAGCATTACAAACCTATGTGATGCGTATAGACTCCTAAAATGATGCTTGCAAATTATAATTCAAGCAATAAGAAAACTACATGCAGGGTTCATTCCTTAACAAGCTTAATTGCATCAATTCTTTGCTCTCTCAAATACAGTCTCCGTGTTCAAAACCCAAGAAAGGAAGAAAGGGGAATATTCTCTTATGTGTTCAACATTATTTATAAGATGACTTTACTTCATTTATCTTTGTGTATAAGTTATAGTTATCTATAGTTAAAAATGCTTTAAATAAGCACCATCCTTTGGAATGAACACGGAATGTAACAAATATACGCTTTTTAGGGCCGGAGCGATAGCACGGCGGGTAGGGAGTTTGTTTGCCTTTCACGCAGCCGACCTGGGTTCGATCCCCGGCATCCCATATGGTCCCCCAAGCACCGCCAGGCGTAATTCCTGAGTGCAGAGCCAGGAATAACCTGAGCATCGCTGGGTGTTACCCAAAAAGCAAAAAAAGCTTTTTAAACAATTATAAATTGTTGGCAATTGTTGGCAAGAAAACAATTTCCAAAGACAGTAAACAGACAAATTAGAGGGAAAAAAATCGATTCTTTTGCACTCAGAAAAGCTGTACAGTTCTCCACCTAAAGTTTGTGGTTCAAGTTTTGGCTCTTCTGGCTATTTTCACTCCTTCCTGTCTATTCTGCTTTTCAACTTTTCTAGCTTGAATACCAGGAAAAATCATTCAAATTCAATGGCAATGCCTTGAAAATATTCAATAAAAAAGAAGTCAAACTGATCTTTTCCTATTGCCCAACAGCTCCCTTCAATTAGACGACTGGCTCCCCAAGGGTCCCATCTGTGGTACCGAGACCGTTCATGGAGTTCTGCAATACTCTGAACCATCACATCCTACTCTACAAGGATCCCTCCACAAGACAGAAAATTCTCATTTAAAATAATAAGCCTTGATTACTGCCCTCCAGAATTCCGAATAACTTATCAAATTATATGTTAGAGTATTAAAAGAACAGTATTTTTAAAAGTGACTATTCACTTCATTATAACAAATTACCTCAGTATCAGGGAAAGCACAGATAATACTTAATAGACTGAATGAAACTCATAAGCTTAGAATATTGTGAATGCACTTTAGGAACATGCAAAGCTTTGTTGTCACTTCTCTCACAAGGGTTACTTTCCTTTACACACCACAGAACATTGTTACGCAAAATATTCAGTTTTATTTCCCCTTGAATCCTGGCCAATTTACTAAGAGAAGAGCAATTTTGCTGACAAGGCAGAAAAAAATACACTTTGTATAAGGTAAAGGTAAAGGCCCTCCCGTTGATCGTCGATTTGCTCGAGCGGGCCCAGTAACGTCTCCATTGGAGACTTGGTTGTTACTGTGTCTGGCATATCGAATACTCTCGGTAGCTTGCCGGGCTCTCCGAGAGGGGCAGAGGAATCGAACTCGGGTCGGCCATGTTGGCCGCGTGCAAGGCAGACGCCCTACCCGCTGTGCTATCGCTCCACACTTTGTATAATAACTTAAAAATAATCATGGAGTACAAAAATCATGAAGATTGTGTGAAAAGGCAAAAAGCAGGACACAAAGATATTAGAAGTTGGTCGGGACAAATGGATCCTGGGAAAAAGAAAGGCTGATAAAATCACCAGTGATTTTTTTTTTTTGAAAAGACTCAAAAGGAATAAAAGATGAGAGAAGACAGGAAATGTTGTTTGTTTTTTATTTTTTTTACTAAAAACAACAAACAAAAGAGCCACTTCAAAAATCACAAATTACCCAAAATGGGTGGGTGGGGGGGGAATAATGAGCTCTAACAAATGCCACTAACCGAAGAGAAGAAAAACAGCACACACGGGCGGATGGGAATACCTTACAGCCTCCAAAGAGGAAGCTACCAAGATGTCATCGCAGGAAATGCAAACCCTATTTCAGATGAAAAAGAACCATTCACGGTGGAAGGGAAATTTCAAAGCAAGAGCTCATGTGCCTCCGGGAAGGCATCATATTGGGGGAAGGGAGGAAAAAGGGTAAAAGAAAAAGAAAATAAAACCAAGTTATCACTGATGGAATCACAGCCCGGGGAATGCACGCTCTGCTGCGGGCACCCCAAGCCTGGCGCACCTCGGGAAGGGGGTGAGGGGGTGGTTTACAGCGCAGACACAAAACCACCTGGAGGAGAGAACTGCAGCCGTCGGGGAGAATCCTTAGGCAGGAGGAGGAGACTCGGAGAGCGCTACCTCCCAGGGCCCCAGCAGAAGCGCGGGCCCGTGAAGATTCCGGAAGCGACACCTGCAAAGCCCCGCACCTCCGCGCGCACGCGGGGGATGCCGCGGTGGGCTGGGGGGGCTGCAGGGACCCGGAACCCGGAGGGCTCCGGGTACAATATGGCTCCCAGCACTCCATAGGTGATTAACAAAGCCGCGGACGCCGTTCCCTTGCAGTCGCACACCCGCTCACACACACGCACATATATACACACACCCGCGCGCGAGCGCGCGCACAACACACGCACGCACCCGCGCGCGCGGCTCCGCAGTTCGCAGCCGGCCGCTGCCACTTGGCTTCCGTAACCCGTCGGCGGCGGGGCGGGGAGAGCTGGAACCTCAGCCCGGGCATCGGCGCCGTGGCGCGGCGGGGGGCTGGCCAAGCCACCCCGGGGCCCGCAGCCCGAGACCCCGGCGCCCCCCACCCCCACCCCCGCCGAGCGCGCGCGCCCACGCCGACCTGCCGAGCCGCGGAGCGGGGCCTGCGCGCGCGGCTGCCGGGGAGGACCCCGCGGGGCCAGAGTGTGCCAACCGCAACCCGGCCCAGTTCAAAGTCCCCCTCCACCCCCCACGACACCCAGTTCCCGACAGCGACACCCAGGCGCCGGCACCCGCCGGTCCTCGGGCGGCCGTCCCCCCGGGACAGGGAAACTGAGGCAGAAGGTGGGGACCCCCGCCAAATCATCATCATCACCATCACCATCACCATCACCATCATATCATCATCATTTTGAAAGCAACACGCTGGGCGTGTTGGCCCAGCTGAGGAGGGGGCTGGGTCGGGTTTAACCCGCGCACCCACACCCCCACCCCAACGCCGGCGCACAAGGTGTCAGAAACAGGCTGGGGTTCCCGAGAGGGAAACCCCGGCCTTCCCCCATTTCCCCCCACCCACCCAGGCTTCCCCGCGGCTGGGATCGGGCGGGGGTCTCCTCCCCAGGCCCGCCCAGCGGATGCCCCCGCCCCCAGAGCAACCCGTCTGCACCTCCAGCCGTTTCTCTGCCTCCGGGGGAGGAGGGAGGCGACCTCCCACCCAATGTGCGGGCACCCCGAAACCCCCAACTCCACCCTCCCGTCGCCCTCCCTCCGGGGGCCTCGCACCTGGACCCCTGGGGCCGCGGCAATCTCGCCAGGGGGACTCCCCAAGGACCTCCCCGGGGCCAAGACCCCCCCTAAGAGAGGGGGAGGGCACCCTCCCCGAGGCCCCGCTCCGGGCGCCCGCAGAGCGGGCCTGGGGGCAGGAATCCCGGGCTCTGGCCCCCCGCCGTCTCCGCGCCGGCCCCTTCCCGTCCGCGGTCCCCGCCGCAGCCCCGGCGCGCTGCCCCGCTGCCCCGCGGACGTGCCCAGCCCCCCGACGGCCCCCACGGCGGGCCCCGAGCGCTGCCCGGGGCGGCGCGTCCTGACCCCCCTCCGCGCCCGGACGCACCTTCGGGAAGGGGCGGCGGCGGCGGCAACGCGACTCCTTTGTGACAGGTCCGGGAGAGCGGTAAAGATGGACGCGAGGCCACCGCGCTGCCATTACGCGGTGGGGCCCACCCCCGCGTCGCACCGCCCCGGCCCTCCCTCAGTCCCCTAGGAAACGCCCCTTCCTCGGTGGCAATCCCTCTCCCCGGCAGCCAATCAGGTCGCCGGAAGCGTGCCACGTGACGAGCCGGCCGGGCCCGCCCCCCGGACGCGAGCCGGCCAATCCCCTTCCCGGAGGTTGTGAATGGCCCAATCAAGCTTCCCCGGCTCGCTGGGGGAGGCCCGGATTGCCGTCGTTCTCCCGGGGGTGGCCGAGAGGCGCGGATTGGGCTGCTCCGCCGGAAGCGGGGCGGGGCTTGGCCGTGGCGCTGAGGAAGAGGAAGCCGGGAAGGGTCAAAAGCAATACAAAAGCGAAGCCTCCCGTGCTCGCTGGCTTCTGCCCTGCTGGCTGCTGCTCCTCCGGCTACAGAGCGGGCGGCCTCGGCCGTGGCGGTTTGGGGTGGGCGCCGCCGAGGTGAGGGGGTCTTGCCTTCCGCTACGCTGGTGGGTGAGTGCGGCCCGGGCCCTGGGTTGGGGCTCCGCCTTCTGCGTGGCCGAGATGGGCGTTGGGGCCGGACTTGCTCCCCGGGCTTTGCGCGCTCGCCCGGTGCCCCGAGACCCCCCGGGGCCCGGGTCTCAGCTGGGGGCGCGCTGCAGTGGGCCGGGGGGGTGGGGCCGACCCTTTGCAGCGGTCTCACCCAGCCCTGGCCGCTTGATACCTCCCCCCACCCACCGTCTTACCAGTTGGGCTTCACTCTGGCCCCCCGCCCGGTGAGGAGCGAGCTCCCCTGTGTCCGCCCCCCCGAAGCTCGAGGCTAACTCGGGACGTCGGGGGGATGCCTCGTCGGAAATGTTTCCACTCACCGCGTGTCCGTGGAGGACGGGAAACACGTAGTTCTGGGCCCGGGACAAACCGCGGGGCCAAGTGCATGCTTTTCCTAATTGGAAACCGGCCCGCGAGCGCGTTTGCAAGAAAAGTGCCCGGAGAGGGGGTCGCCGTCGTCTGCTAGATTGGGGAGGAAGGGAGCAGGGAGGGAGAGGGGGGCGGGTACCTGCTCTTCAGCTGGGGGGTGGGGGGGGTCTTTGACTGGGAAGCAGGATCTTGTGCAGTCTCTTTAAAAGTGCTGGTTTTCGGATCCCACCCGGAAAAATGCAAACTGTCTTGATTGACGCCGGGTCACGGGTGGGCCCTGCGCGGCCCCGCGCGCAGCGGGCGGTGGGAGTGCCCAGCCCCGGGTGCTGGCTCCAAGGTGCGACTTGTTGAGGCCTCTGCTGTTTGCCTCGCCCCCCTGCAAACCCGCACCCCGACGTCCGTGGGGCTCCTTTATGATGCAAGGAACTGAGCAGAGAGAAACACAGGTTTTTAAATTTTTATTGATTTATTTATTCTTACAGATTGGATCAGCTGTTAACCATGTGGGAAGGTATGAAAGCCCGTGACTGGCCTGATTCCTGACTCAGCTGATCTTGGAGTCTTAAATTGGAGGGAAATCTGGTTTGGGTTTTTTTTTTTTTTGGAGGGGGGGGATGGTATTTTTGGCCACACCCAGCGATGCTCAGGGATCACTCCTGGCGGGCCGTGCTCTGCAGGTCCCCAACCTGCTGTACCGTCTCTCAAGCCCGTGGAGGGAGTTCTTGACGATTCTAAGAAAGGAGAGATTGCGCCAAAGCCTTTTCCCCGTGGCTAGCAGCCTTCTTGCTTTCTAAGATTCATGGTCTTTGATTCCCATCACGGGGCTTGAAAATCATTTATCTGGTAGTACACTTGGTTCTACCCTAGACTCAGTCCTGGGATAATTACACCTTGAGGCACCCAAACTTCAGTGGTTTCAGGGTGTTCACTGTTAATCACAAATTATACATGCTTGTCTTCATTGTATATGATTCATTTCACTCTTTCCTCTAAAGATATGTTCTAACGATTGCTCTAATCTTTGGCATTCTGTGTTTCACTATCTTTCACTTTACCCATCTCCCTTTGTTGTTGGGTATTTTACTCTTAGAATTTGTTGATTGGTGTCTTCAGTTCTGAAAAATTCTTAGCCATTTAATGTTCATATATTACTCTTGTCCTGTTGTCTGTGTTCCTTCTTTAGAGATTGAATGGAGAGCTTTTACTCTATGCCTCTTCCTCTTATTTTTCCCTGTTCCATTCTGGATAATTTCATCATTAATTCTCAAGTCTTTTTTTTTTTTTTAGGAATGTTTATTGTGATGCTGTGATTTACAAAGTTGTTCATAATAGAGTTGTTTCAGGCATACAGTGTTCCAACACCAATACCACCACCAATGTCCCCTTCCCTCCACAAATATCCCTAGCTTCCCTCCAACCTGCAGGCATATAACGTTTATTTCATATTAACTTTCGAGTCATTTGTCATCTATTATAAAATATATCCCTTGAAATCGGAAGTTCATCTGTTGATAGTTCCTGAAACTGTTTCAGATCTTTTAGACACATGCTATGCCTTTCTTATTCTCAGCTGTTGATTGTTGGTTTTAATTTCTTTAAGCTGTGAGCATAAATATGTTTTATAATCTATGTGTGTTAATTTCCTCTCAGAGAGCCTGTAAAGCTACCGAGAGTATCCCTCCCGCACAGCAGAGTCTGGCAAGCTACCTGTGGCATATTGTGCCAAACAGTAACAAGTCTCACGGTGGAGACGTTACTGGTACCCGCTTGAGCAAATCAATGAACAACGGGAGGACAGTGCTACAGTGCAGGACAGTGTGTTAATTCCACTATCTGAATTCTATGTCTCTTTTTTGCTGGGGAGAGCTGTCTCTCTCCTTTGCCCGCTATTTTGTGTTCTCTCCCCAGTCCCAGTTCATCTTGATCTTCAGGGTGTAGTTCTTTGGGGTTACTAGAAGAAAGAGATGGTTATCAGATTCCACACTCTGCTTCATGCTCTGGCTTTAACTTTTGTCTTAGGCCACCAAAATAGGGTTTCGGGCCAAAGAAACCATCAGGACGAAAAACTGTTGGCATATTGGTTTTGTGTTTTGCTTTTTCTAAAAAGAAAGTTATCATAGGCACTGTGACTCACAACACTGTTAATGATAGGGTTTTATCCATAATGTTACAGCACGACACCTTGCACCAGAGTGACCGCCCCACACACAACCCCCTGTCCCATTAACATGGTCGGCTCAATTCCATAGACCAGCTGTCCAGGCTCCTTTCTCTTTGGCTATTTGTTATTCCTTCTTGTGTTTCTTTTTTTTTTTTTTTTTTTGGTGCCCAGCAGTGCTGGGGGGACCATATGGAATGCCAGGGATTGAGCCCAGGTCGGCCACATGCAAGGCAAATGCCCTACCCACTGTAATGCCTCCGGCCCCGCTGTGTTTCTTTTCATCTCACAGACAGGAGAGCTCATTCTGTGCCTGTCCCGTCCCTTCTAATTTCACTCAGCATGATGCTCTTCACATCCATCCTCCATAGCAGCAAATTGCATGATTTTGTCTTTTCTTATAGTTGATTCCATTGTGTACATATACGCCAGAGTTTCTTTATCCTGTCATACATTCTTGGACAGTTGGGTGGTTTCTGGGTTTTGGCTGTTACAAATAGTGCTGCAGTGAACACAGTGCAAATGTCTTCTTTCTGAAGAAAGTCTTTGGGCCCTTGATGTAGTGGCCAAGAAGTGGAATTACTGTATCATATGGGTTTCACAAAATCACAAATCACAAATCATCCTGTTATTCGTCGATTGCCTCGAGCAGGCCCCAGTAACGTCTCCTTCATCCTGGCCCTGAGGTTATATTCAAGGCTCTTTAGGAGAATGTGACCCATCATTGTTACTGGTATTTGGCATATTGGGTACGCCACGGGGAGTTTGCCAGACTCTGCCGTGTGGGCAGGCTACATTCGGTAGCCTGCCAGTTTGTCAAAGTAGGAATGAGATGTCATAATAAGATGTCGCACGGCCGCATTTGCAGCCGTGCGGTTCCAGGAGCTGGTTTTTATAGTCTCCGAGTCTTGGCCGCTGATGGGATTACACGGCGCCAGGGGGCCAGTTGGTGGGTGTGACCCCCGCCTACTGGAATTTGGAGGATCTGGGTGGAGGATGCTCGACTCCAATCCGAGTAGACTTGGAGATCTCGGCCCCGGAACCCACGTGGCTTTGTCCCTTTTTAACAATTTGTTAACAATTTTAACAAAATTAAAATTGTTTAATTTTGCATTTTCCCCTTGTCTTGTGTCTTGGTCACATTACTTTTTTTTGAAGCGGGGTGCTGGGGAGAATCACATCCGGCAATGCTCAGGTGTTACTCTTGACCCTGCACTCAGGAATTACTCCCGGTGGCGGTGCTTGGGGGATATATAGGATGCTGGGGATCAAACTCAGGACAGCTGCGTGGAAGGCAAACGTCCTACCTGCTGTACTAACACTCCAGCCCCAGTCACGTTGCTTATTGTTAACTTTCCTGTTTGTTTTCAGGATTATTCTAAAGATTTCTTCCAGGTTTCTTTGTTTTTCACTTTGTCATAGAGGTGGAGAATGGTGTCAGCGACCCTAATCTATTTCTGGAAGCGATCACTTCCATTGATTCTGATTTTGGATTGTGAATTTAGCAGGCCCTCCAGTTAAAGAGTATTGTTCTCCTGTGTCTAAGACTTCCCCAGCTTTTCCTGGTCTTCTTTCCCAGTGCCCTGTTGTGCTTCGTTTCTGTTCTCTTGGTGTGTTTCACCTCCTCCTGCTTTTCCTTACATTACTTTCGTACCAGTTTTATTTTTTACTAAACTCAGGTTCCTCATAGAAAGTAGAGTGCCAGCTTAGTTCCTGCCATTGTGCCGTGCACGTAGTAGGTACTTGATCAAGGTTTCCTTTAAAAGTACCACTGTACTTCTTTTTTTCTTTAAAAAAATTGATCTTAGGAATTAGATAGCCTAGGAGGCAGAGGTAAAACCAGTATGATTTAGTTTGGAGTTGGTTTCAGAGTCAGCCTGGATGGCAAAAGTGTCTAAATCTACCCTCAAAAATCTTTTTTTTAGGGAGGCGTGATGTTGGATACTGGTAAAATTCCCACACAACCAGATTTTCCTCCAACTTTGGTATTTGGCATTGGGCCCAGCCGTATAGCTCAGTAGTAGAACTTTGGGAATGTGAGGTCTGGGTTTGATTCCAAGCACCACAAAACAAACAAACGTTTACCCCAAAACTCCCTAACACTTGTCTTATTTTGAGCCTTAGAAGAAATACAGTAAATTCTCATTTAATATGTCCATAGTTTGATAGGAAACTGCAACTTTAAGGAAAACAACTGTAATAAGGAAAACAACTATAATCCTCAGATAATATTTTGCTGAGCAGAATGTTGAGCCAATGTGCTTTTTCCCACCTTTGGCCCATGCTCTTCCTCATCAGCTATAATGAGTCTGCATTGAACTGTTACACTATTTTGTTTTGTTTTGGGGGGCCCTACCCACTGGTGCTTAGGGCTCACTCCTGCTTCTGTGCTCAGGGCTCAACTCCTGATGGGCTTGGAGGCCTGTATGGAATGCTG